ACAAGCAAAGGTCTAAAACCTTACAGTGAAGCCAAACTGGATTGGACCCAAAGACACAATCAAAACACAAGCTAGGACTGAGATTGAGCTATCCCTAATAGCTTGAGACGAACCCATCAAACTAGATTGTCTCGAGCCCATGCCCATTCGGTACCAACTACCAGTGTGCAGAAATGGCTTCCTCAGATCCGACCTCTCATTTTCTCCCTCCTCTCTGAAACTCATCTTTTTCTTTTTCTCCAACCAAATCGAAATTCAAGAAAAAAAACCCAGATCAAAAGGATGATTCTTGATTGTTGCTTAAGAATCAAATAGTGTTCGTTTTGCTTTTCTGGAAGTTGGGAGTTGAGTTGAAGGCCTTTGCAATGGATTAGGGACGAGAGAGGTGAAGTCTATCGGTTGCGAAGTGAAAAAGTCCTAGCTTGTCTTTGTGAATTAGTCGTGTCAGTTTCATGTGTTAAACGTGGAAACGAATCCTTGCTAGCCATCTTTTTCAATAATTTAAAAGGGTCGCTTCTCGAGGAGATTATTTTGTTGGCATCCATGAAAGTTTGTACAGATGAGAGGGATGACGACAAACAGGAATATCAGGCATAGTTCACTGCAACTATTACTGGATTAGTATTAAAATACTAATAAGATGATGAAGTTATTGGGCACTAACGTTGGGTGTTTGGTGCAACTGAAGAAATTTTGCCATACATAAGAGTATCAAAATTCAAGCCAATATCTCGGTTGTATTTAGGTGGTCTTCTTTACAAAATATTTCACTCACATTTAATTTAATCTATGCTCAAATCTAACTCAACTTTAATCTAACTTCACATTTCTTTAATATTATTCATATAATTAAATAATACAAACCAATCATTCTTACACAGCTCATGTAATTTTAATTAACTATCACATTTTTCTATTTTTACATCAACTCAATTTAATTATTTTATTTTAAATATTATTTTAAAATAAACTCAAAATTCCACTAACAACTTCGAATATCACAATTTTCAAAATTATCACTAGTTAACAAAAAAAATCATTTTCAACGGTTTAATTTGTAGACAAGCACACCTAAAAAAATCATTTTAAACGGATTAATTTGTAGACAATCACGCCTAAAGAGTCTTGGCAATCTCTAATGCTAATTATCTTTTTTCCAGCACTATTTTTTTTAAGGTGGGGTGAATCAATAAGATTGTGCTGAATTTTGAGGTTACAAGTTTGAAATTTTTGGCTTACACTTGCGTAGTAGTTGAATGACTCAACAAATCAATGCCAGATACGTTTTTTGTAGAGCACTTTTTTTTTTTTTACCAAACATCAAATTATATAGCACAAACCAACAATATACAATCCGAGTAGCCAAAGGACTACAAGTCATTGGGAAAACACCATGAGGCTTCCCTACACGACCAAAAAGGTCTTTAACACAAAACAAGAAACAACAAATACACAAAGTGCAAGACTGAAAAGAAAAAGACAAGGACCAAGAAAATATAAAAATCTACAAAAGCAAGATAACCACAAAGAAGTACAAGGAACCAAACTTAGGCTTAAACAACCCGCAGGAAGGCAACAGATTGTGAGGGAGTGTGTCTCTGGCCAATATCTCCAAGTTTTTGTAGAGCACAAGGTCTATATTAATGCAACATTATCTTTGAAATGAAAATCCAGTGTAATTTATTGGGTTGATTATCCCACAACCACTTTCACTAACAAATAAAACCCACGCCCCATTGAAGAATTAATATAAACAAATTACCTAAGAATAAAACTTATATTCATAAATTTAAGAAGATGAAATGAATTTAAGTGATATAGCTCAGATGGTAGAACGCTCCCTTAGCATGCGAGAGGTACGGGATCGATACCTTTTCTTCTTCTTTCTTTCAGTCCTAATTATGTAATTTAAGAGTATTTAACACAACTAGTTTTACCCCTGCAATTACACGAAAAACGAAATAGTAGAAGAGAACATAATTAAAAATATAGAATAAAATAAAAAAAAAATTAACTTAATAAATGAGAAAAAAATAATTTAAAAAAACAAATCTAAATATTATTAAACACTTCTTTATATACGACATTCGTGGTTTTTACATCGTCGGAATCTCCATCACAACATACGACATTCGTGTTTTTTACATCGTCAAAATCTCCATCACAACAAATCATTATCGTTAAATCTCTTCGACATTCGTGATTTTCACATTGTCAGAATCTCCATCACAACAAATCATTATCGTTAAATCTCTTCGACTCGTGACTCTGGGATTTGATTTTTCAAAATATTTGATGTGTCTTTGTAATATTTGAAATTATTTTTTTTTATCATTGTATGACTGCAATAGAAAATAGAGATATTTGTACTCATTTTTAATTAGTTTTGAAATATGTATTTATATAATATCAAAAAATATATAGTATGAAAATAAAATATTTACAGAAATGGGCACCATCCAAAATGGGATCTGTCAAAATAAATTGTGTAACTGAAAATTACATATTATTATTAAATGGTGAACTTATTTTTATTAAATAAACACCTATTTTTATTAAATGAACTCATATTATTAATAATTATTGGTTGAATAAAATTTATTGAAGTTTGCCAGCAATTATATATATATAGATATAGATTTATTATTAACAAAATCACTCATGAGAAAAAATTGTATATATACTTTTTTTTTTCTTCAAACGGCAAACAAGCAAACTTTTATTAAACTAAATAGAGTACGTAGTAATCAACTGGTTACAAATCGATGTTGGAATAAAAATAAAAAAGATGGATTCCGCAATATATATAATCAGTCGGCCTAAACCTTCCACCGTCGTAGTAATAAGGAAACTAACGAAAACAACACCAGGAACAAGTACATACCATAAACAAGTACATTGCTACTTATGAGAGTCCAACTTCATTAATTAAGAGCCAAGGGCACATCAAAATTCAAAAATTACAGTACTAATATATTGATGATGATATAGAATTTTACATGTTACAACAAGATGATAGGATATTTATTTTGGTTAAATTTTAATCAACCTTGTACAATACAAGTACTAGGTTGATGCTTGTGGGGTGGCAAGGGAAAATTAATACTAGTGCTGATTGTACCTACATTCTTGATTTCTTCGAATACAAGAGCAGACCACATATAATTAATAATATCATACGCACGCATTTGGGAGTTTTTCCTTCTCACTTTTTCTCTCAGGATGCCGATCAAGATTTCAACAAGGGATAAGCTCGCTCATTGCATCTTCAGATTCTTCAGAAGCCTGCCAACATCATTAAAATACAGAGATCAATGAGTTATTGAGTGAAACTAATTAAATATTCCCTATGATTATCACGAAAACGTTAAATAATCAAATTTCGAATTTTTTTTATGTTTTATTTTATTTTATTTTATCTTGGCTGCTTGTTTTGTGACTAACAAAGAAAAATGATCATCTAGAAGAAATAAAAAAATGTGATGGAACTTATAGAAAATTATAATACGTGGCAAGTTGATATTAGGGTTGAGCATGGGACTTAGAGAATTCCGAACCGTTTCAAAAATCGAACGGAAATCACTTCGAACCGAAAAATAACCGTTGACCGTTTGACTTTCTCCGAACCGAAAAATTAATTGGCAGGTTCTGGAGACTTTACAAATATCTGTACCGAGAACCGAACCGAACCGTTCCATACCGTACCGAAATTAAAAACTGAATTATAAAAATAGTTGAGTGTTATTAATATATTTTATGTCAACTTTGATCCTATATAATTTGAAAATTTTTAAAATTTAAATAAAATATAGTAAAAATAATTAAGCTCCACTTAATTTCATGGTTAGTAATACTTGATCTACAATTGAATTTTTTTTGTTTAGAAAAAAAAACAATATTTAAAATTGAATGAAAGATTAAAAAAATATTTGATAAAAAATTATTTAAACTTTACATAAATTTGTCGATACTTAGTCTTATTCTATCGTATAACTAACATGATATGGATGGTTAAAGAAATATTATTTTAATAACAAACTATATTATATTTTATTTAAATTTTAAATTTTTAGTGTTAGTTGCACAAATATAAAGTTAACTAAAATTAATTTAAAAATAAAATCTTTAGTATGATTAAGTATTGATGAATGTTGGATTTCTAAAAAATATATAAAAATTAAAATATAATTAGGAATATCCGAACCGAAACAAACCGAACCGAACTGTTCCGATATTCTGAAATACTGAATCGAACCAAAAAATAAAATTCCTCGAACCGAACCGAAATTTGGTACGGTTTTGGAGATCGAATTTTAGTGATCTCCGAATATCGATACGGTTCCAGAGATTTATCAATCTTCGAACTGTACCGACCCATGCTCACCCCTAGTTGATATGGTGGTTAGCTAGAGTGTAGGTGGTTAGGCATGTGCTGATGTGCTATAGTATCTAAAACAAGTAAGATTAGATTTCATAATCTATAAATTTTAGTAACATATAAATATATTGTTTAAAATGTAGACGAAGAAGAAGACAAAGACGAAGAAGAAGAAGAAAAGGAAAAGAATTTACAAACGAAGAGAAACGAAGCGAAGTCAAAGAAAATGCTAGCTCTTTAGTTGATCCTGATCCTACATGACTAGGTCAAAGATGAATAGTGAATACTCCGGCCCGAGGATAGTAGGTAGATTGAAGGGGGATTGATCGACGCAAGACAGAACAGAACCCCCCCAACCCAGATAAAGTAAGGAAAGAAAAAAGGAAGATGATGAGGAAAACGAAGTGAGACTCGACTAAAAGGAGCGGAAAGATGTAATTGACCTGAAGACGCAGTCTAACGTTAACGAAAGCCCTTACAGACTCTCAAATTTAGAGTGAAGACCATGAGAAATCCACTCCTTTCACAAGGGAATGGCCAAGCCAAGATAAGGAAACTTAATTAACAAGAAACATAAATGCATTTTTAACATTCACATGTAAAAATCAGTTAGTTTTTTTTTTTTTAATGGATTATTTATATTACCTCTGTTCATGAACATATCCTCTGGCATTGGCCATATTGTTGTAATTAGGAATGGGGACTTGATCATTCTCTATCTTCATGATGTCCTTCTCTAAGGCCTCATAGTGCCGCCTTACTTCATCGGCCGTTTTACCTGTGACATGTCTCGCTATTTTGTGCCACCTGTCGGGCGTGTCCTTCACGTACTCGGCCAAAGCATCCT